CCCAATAGACAAAGCCCTAGACATTGTAGAGAAAAACTGGACAATCATTGAACCTCACACCACCCTTAACCTTTCCTCATATCTTGAATCCCTTGAGCTTTGTTGTAGATCCGGTTTCCTCAGCTTCCAAGGAAAATTCTTTCATCAGATTTCTGGCCTAGTCATGGGAAATTCCTTAGCACCAGATATTTCCAATATTGTTCTCAATGACCTTCTTGACTCTGTTATCCCTTCTTTTCATCAAGACATCATTTTCATAAAAAAATATGTTGATGACCTCCTCCTTGTTATTAACCCTGACAGCATCCCCCAAATTCTTTCCTTATTCAACTCTTCTCACCCCCGTCTCCGTTTCACCATAGAGAAAGAAGATAACAATTCGCTCCCCTTCTTAGACCTTCTAATAATGAAAAACATTGACGGTTCTGTCTCTACTGACTGGTACACTAAACCCACATACTCAGGCAGACTACTCAACTATTACTCCCAACACCCATATCACCAAAAAATCAATACCGCCAAAAACCTTATTCACCGATCCCTCTCCTTATCCGATCCACAATACCATCAAGCCAACACTCAACGTGTCAAAAATATACTGCTCTCTAACAATTTTCCTCTGAACACCATACATAAACTTTTAAATTGCTATACAACCAAAAACAATACAGCCTCCCATTCTCCCAACTCCCCACAATCATCTACCACTCCTTTCATATACAAATCTCTCCTCTATATCTCTATCCTCTCAGACAATATACAAAAATTCCTAAAATCGACTACAACCAACTTACGCCTTGGCCTTAAGTCCCATAACAAACTTTCTTCCCTTTTCACCAACTTGAAGGATCCCATACTCTTACAACACCGATCCAATGTAGTTTACCGGATACCTTGCTCTACTCCTAATTGCAATAGCTCCTATATTGGTGAAACCAAAAACTATCTCAAAACCCGCATTTCCCAACATAAAACGTCCATAACTTCCCGGAATCCTTCCGCCTCCAAACTATCAGAACATGCTTTAACACCCAACCACTCATTTGATTTTGAAAAAACCTCTATCCTTTCCACGGTCCCTAACCATGAAAAAAGATTCATTTCCGAATCTATCCACATTCACATGGAACACAATCCCGTTAATCACAAAGTAGACAAAAACTGTATTTCTCTTACATATAGACACATTTTAAATCTTATAAGGGAAAAATAACTTAAATATTCTATTCTATTATTTTCATCCACTCTCAATTTTTATTAATTAATTCATTTAATTGTTTATTATTCTAAATATTCCTTCTTTGTACGATCTCTCTTCTATTTTATTCTAAATTTACATTTACACTCTACACCAATGTATGACCACCCTATATTTTTTCTTTATTTTTTTTTTTTCTTTTCCCTCTCTATACTTTTAAGTTAGCTCTGCAATGTATGTATGTTAATGAAGTTATTGCTATATTTACATTTTACTCTTTACCAATTTTGGGTTTATTCTCATTGTACTCTGATCTAGAATCATGAAATACCTCTCACATCTCTCAACTCTATTTTATATGTATATTTATATATTTATAATTTAATATTTATAGATATAGTATTTTTCCATTGTATCCATCCATATCTTCAAAAATTCCTAGGTACTGTACATTCCTGGGTTTTTCAATCTTTACTTAGTTAACACATGTTAACTCCCCCTATACTTGCAATCCTTTACTTAGTTAACACATGTTAACTCCCCCTATACCTGCAATCCTTACCGCTGCCTTTCCAGTTCTAAGTGAAACTCCTAGAGGAACACACCTGTAAGTCTCTAATCTTATTTTTTCTCCTGTAGATTTTGTAGAATTATACTCACATTTTCATTTGTTATATATTACACTACAACAATTGTTAGCATCTATTTACTTTATTTTAGGATCTTGTTACTCAGCTTACTTAGTCCATATTGTATTGTACTTACTGTTTATAATTCTAATAAGCTTATTCACATTGTTTATAAATCATGTCTAAATATTATGTAATTTCCACAATTCTCTATCTTTTTGTATCTTGTCCGTTCTAGCCCTGATGAAGACCTGCAAAGTTGGGTCGAAACGTTGGCTTTCAATAAAATAGTTTTACCACTATTTAGCCTTTTTATGACTGCAACCCCGGACCATCTCCTTCCTTTATAATGCAACGGTCAACCATTAAATATTCAATATGCTTATCATAGTTTTCAGTGGTGTACTGAATTTAACTGCAAAATTTGTTTACAGTGATGTACCTTTTGCATTACCTTCCCACATCGTAAACATAGGCTCTCCTATCATGAAATTTTTATTTAAGAATAGAATATTGGTGAGATGTAGATAATAGTTTTAATATTTTAGTTTTAACTGTTGGTTCTTAAGGTTCAATTCATAGTTTTCACCTTTATTTTATTTTTCCCCTCCCTTTCTTTTTTTCTTTTAATTTATTTCTTTTTATTTATTTCAATAATATTT